CTGTTGGATAAGACGGCGATAACCGGAGCAGTTAATAAAGAAGAGATAAGATGAGGAGTTGAGTCGAGTTTCTGCCATGGAAACAGGCAACAAGTGTAATGTCTTTTTGATAAGAGGACACCGATTTCCCAATTTATGGCCTCTGTGGACAGCTGTCATGTTCCTCCCACTCAGAGTGTACAATTAATTATTAGGCACTTCCATGGAAATCTTGAAAACCCCCTTAAAGGAACAGTACACTGCAAACATACATACAGTTGACACTAATGGAGATTTTGTTTTGAAAACCTAATCCACTTCCTGCCAAAATATTTCACTGATGAAAGGAAAATATACAGTTTAGAGCAAGGGTCACCCAGCCTTTCTGAAACCGAGAGCTACTTCAAGGGCACTTAGTAATAAAGAGAGCTACTTGTTTAATACACATTTCACAAACAACGTAATAATAATCAGTTGTGGGACATCCAATAGCAGACACTCTTCTTACCATCGTCATTGCACCCATTTGAATATCACTGCAAGTGGAACTGATTCAAAAAGCACAGTAACAGTACAATTTTTGGACCCTCTTGTTGACTAGTTTTATTTTTAGAACATAGCCTGCGGGCACCTTAGGTAGTCCATGGGGACTACCAGGTGGTAGTATACCAGGTACTCCTGGTTTAAAGCTATCCAAATATTAAATGTCATTGAAAAAAAAAAATTCTCAGAAAGAAGAGTATTTTTTTACTGCTGTACCTGACATCTAGATTAGATTAGATTGGATTAAAACAGATTAGATTAGAGGAGATTAATCTGAACTTTATTGATCCCACACTGGGGAGGAACAGATAGAACTGTTCAATAAAAACAAGAATCTTTCAAATGTAAGAGACAGTAATAATACAAATATTATGGAAAATACGATTTAAAAAATTCTCAAAGTGGGGGGCGCGGTACCGGAGTGGGGCACAGTGCCATTGTGGGGGCGCGCAGATGGAATGAATGAATGAAACTTAACACAGCGATTAGATTAGATTGGATTAAAACAGATTAGATTAGAGGAGATTAATCTGAACTTTATTGATCCCACACTGGGGAGGAACAGATAGAACTGTTCAATAAAAACAAGAATCTTTCAAATGTAAGAGACAGTAATAATACAAATATTATGGAAAATACGATTTAAAAAATTCTCAAAGTGGGGGGCGCGGTACCGGAGTGGGGCACAGTGCCATTGTGGGGGCGCGCAGATGGAATGAATGAATGAAACTTAACACAGCATACTGTCCAATGTTGTAAATGTTTAACAAGAGACTGGGGAAAAAACTGATTGGTTGAAGGAGGTGTGAAAAAGAGGCTGTTTTTTAAAATTCTTGCTCTTTTGCTGTGTCTAAAAATCTAAAAATTGTTTATTAAGTTTGGGAACCACTGGGTTGTTACACAAAAGCAAGTTATATTGCACTTCACCTTGCACTCACGTTCACATTTCTTTCTCTGTGCACTTAATGCAATGACCACAATCAAAACAGGCCTCAGATGATATCAAGAAATGACATAACTAGTGCAAAACTACTGTAGGTGGAGGAATGTCTTATCTTCACCCGCATGGCACCAGGTGAACGAGGGTTCATTAAAAAAAAAGAGCTATCTGTGAATAAAAAACAAACAAACAAATATCATGTAATAGACACAGGATGTCGGCTGAGATTAGCGCGTGTCTGAGTGTCTGTTCTGGCTGAGATGGAGAGATGTCGGTGAGGTCCGATGATAGGGATCGTCGTAGCACAGATGTGGAGGTGGAGAAGCTGCCACAGGACGAGACACGCATGATGACAAATTCTGTAGTGGATTATTTTCAGTGAAAAAAAAAAAGTTAAATAAAATAAAAGGTTTGATTTGTCTCTCCCCACTGGTCTGGTGGATGATAGTTTGACTTGTCTGTACAGGTTTATCTCTCAGTACATCTAAAGCTGTCTGTCTGTTTGGTCTGTGGCAGGGGTGTCCAACTCATTTGGGTTCAGGAGCCACATACAGTCTGATTAGATGTCAAGTGGACTGGATTAGTACAATCACGACATAATTACCCATAAATAACGACAAGTGCACGTATTCCCCTTTGTTGTCATGCAAATAGGTACAAATATTTTGGGAAATATCAATATTTAATGAAAGATCTTTTGACAAAACGTCACGAACATGACTTGTGTACATTTCTGACTTTCAAAATTCATCCAGCGGGCCAGAATGAACCACCCAGTGGGCCGTTTTTGGCCCCCGGGCCTCATGTTTGACACCCCTGGTCTATGGTACGGTGACAGACAGCCCATCACTGTAGAACAGCAGCAGCAGCTCTGGCTGTAAATCTGTGCCGACAGTGATTTTCCTCTGACGTTTCATGATTTTCAGTTGTTCTTTATTATTGTAGCTACAACAACGCTGTCAATGGTTCAGATTTATTTACAGGGCCTCCCTTTTTTTTTCAGCGAGCCTCACACAGTGAATTATAGTTCACATCTAAACTCATTGCTTCCCACTCACTCAGACCCTTTGAACTATTTTTCCCTCCCTTCTAATAAACTCTGCCACAGTTTTTAATCACGCCAAAGCTAATGTTTTTAATTTATTATTCATTTTGAATTTTTTTTTTTTTTGCCTGAGCTCTTAAGACCTGTTCCTTCTGTTGGTGGTGGGTGGCTGTGGTGCTGTGTAGAAAGGCCTTAGTATAGAAGGTATATTGAAGAAATAAAAACTTTAACAGTAATATAGAAGGTATATAATAATTGAAGAAATAAAAACTTTAACAGTAAACTGCTGATCTACTGGTGCCCCCTGTGGTCAGTTTGGGTCATGTAAGGAAATGGATATCTGTGAAATCATCAACAGAATTGCCAAAATAACACATTAGAGCAGTGTTTTTCAACCTTGGGGTCACGACCCCACATGGGGTCGCCTGGGATTCACATGGGGTCGGCTGAAATGTCTGTTATATTTTCACTTTGAAGAATATAAACTCGAGTTCACTCAAACTCTTCTATACACGATTTCTTCCCTTCATTTCACCTCAGTTCATTTTTCATTTCTCTCCCTGCCTCCTGTATAAAGGAGAAGAGGTGGACATCCATGGTGTCTCATACCAGGGGTTGAGAAGGGGGTTGTGGGTAAATAAGGCAGTCCATTTGGCTAAAGTGTGTTGGCTGCCTTTTTGATATTTTGGCTTTGGTCCCCCGTCTGTTAGGCCTGGCAGCGTCTTTGATGTCATTACCCCGAATTAGACAATTGGCTGGTGTACCCTTATCAAGGGACGCTAACCCGAGAGACTCTAGCCCTCTCTTTGTACGCATATATGTCCACATGTGCTATGGCTTTTAGTCCATATGCTCAGCTGTTATAAAATTGGGATATGAATGTGAAAGAGTTTATGACAGCTTGCCATGAAAAGAATCAGTATTTGAAAAACAAGTAAAAGAAACCAGCCAGGAAGTGTGAAGGCTGGACTAGCCAATAAACACTGTACAGCATTTTAATTTTAATGATAGAAATGAGAAAAGTGTTTTTTATTCAAAAAAACGTTAATTTTATTATATGATATTGTGTATAATATAATAAAGTATTATTTTATTATTATATTATATTACCGTAATTTCCGGTAAAAGCCGGAAACCCTGCGGCTTAAACAATGGTGCGGCTAATTTATGGATTTGTTACGGCACTCCGAGTTGAGTGGCGAGAAAACATTTATCATGCGAAGAGCAACTTTTGCTCAAGTCTGCAAGTGTATCCTTAGTGGAGCAGAGTGTAAAACTCCACTTTTAGCAACGGCGTTCGATAGGCTGGACTGCTGCGCGATGAAGACGACGACACAAGCTCAAGTGCAAATTTGCCTCGAGACGAAAGTCACATTGAGAGCGACCGAGAAAGTGTGTGACGCAGCATTTCTGATGCTGTTCAATTCCGACACCGAAGGAGATGTCTTTAGTGGTTTTAGTGCGCAGGAGGAAGATGAAGATAACGGTCAATTGTTTTTCTGGTAGGCTATTGCGTGTTGTATTAGTAGCGTATGTCTGTCTGTGAATCGCTGTGTGTGTATGTGCGTGAGGCGCGCGCGAGATAACGGTAGCTTAGAAGTTTGAGCTCTGTCGTGTTGAAGCGCGAGTTGGTCGTTAATAAGCGGTTAAAACGCTGTTTATGTACCGAGTTTATGTGCTCGGTGTGTTTATGTGCTCGGTGTGTCTGATAATAAAGACTTCCAGAAACTTCCCTGTTTCTGTTTACCTCTGCTACGGACAAGCGCAAAGTGAAGGGAGTTAGCCCCGAAGGCTAATGTTAGCTTCGAGCATGTGTATTTCAACTACGGTCGGGGGCGCCGAAGCAGGAAAGAGGTAACTGTGTTTCAGGCACTGTTCGAAAAATAAGTATTTGTTTGATTAAAAATGAAAAAAAATCTTTCTCTATAGACATATTTTTGTGTAAATATCCAACGTTACAACGTGTACACCTGTGGCTTATAAAGAAGTGCGGCCTATATACGCACAATCATTTTTTTTCTTTTGAAATTTAGTGGGTGCGGCTTATGTTCAGGTGCGCTCAATAGTCCGGAAATTACGGTATATTATATTATTTTTCACTCAAGGTGTAATGGCAGGGCGCTTATGTTCATGTATGCTAAATATTTATATTGCTAAACTTGAAGTGATCCATGAAAACATCCATGAAACGACCATCAGCTCCCCACTGATCCCGCTCTCCCCGCATGTCTTTGACATCTACAAAGCCGTTAATTATTGAAGACTGCAACCTGTAAAATGGGTCACAAATGTACAGTTCATTTTAAAAGGATGGAAAATAACGTCCATAAACAATGGGGCAGTGCAGTTTTTTTTTTTTTTTTAGAAAACAGCAGTAAACAGTGCATTTTTCTGCACTAATTTTAAATGAAACTGGAAAAATAGTTTCCGCATTTACAGTGTCTACATATTTTGAGTCTCTATTTAAGAAAAATCTGTGTTTTTTTTTATCAGACTCGTTCTCTCTGGCTGGAACTCCTCTGGGGATCTGGAGGAGAATGGAGAGAGGAGGAGAGAGTCCCATCACCCAGGACAGTCCAGAGACGAGGGGAGGCAGCCCAGACCTTGGTGGTCTCCCACCACCGGGGAAGAAAAGCCGTCTGGAGCTCAATGGGAGCCCGACTGGACCGCGCATACGACACAATGGAGCCCCGCCCAGACTCTTGGGAGGTGAGTAATACCATTTAGATCCAAGGCAAAAGTTTCTGCAATATTAACCTATAAAATGCTGATTTAACAAAAATAATGAAATAGTGTTCATTGTGTTCGGCTCTCGGTGGGGTGTTGTTGTGTTGGAGCATTGCAGGGACAACAGTGGTAATGTAAAAGTCTGGGGGGTAACTGTACGACAGCCTCACCAAATAAAGCAGATTGCTCCATATAAATAAGATTTATAGAAACTCACCCCGGGTTATCGATCCCTGCATTCATTGTAAAAGTTTTTATTACCTTACGTGGGTTCGTACAGTCCCCTCTTATTAGTATTGGTGGCGTTTATGTCTGCAATTATATTTAGTTTTTCTTGTGTTTCTTTACCCCCCAATTCAAGGAAAAAGGTCATCTCACATTAAAGGCATTGAGTTCAAGCGTTCAAAGCACTGGGTTGGAAAAATAAAAGAATATAGGAATAAGGTCCAAATTGAACACTAAACTGAACTGAGCACTGAACTCAAAGGTAATTGAAAAACATTTCTGTTTTTAATAAGAATTTTAAAGAGAGTCAGCCATGCGGTTTGTCAAATATTCAAGTGACGATGGAAACAAAATTCGCAAAATATTTGTTGACTTCCTGCTGTCGCCAACAGTCAAGCACAAAACACAGTTGCTTGACTTTTGGCTACAGCCGGAAGTCAACGAAGTAACAGGAGTATTTATTATACTTTAAATACACTTTACTATATTTATGTAAGAAAGACAATATTTCTATGGTCTTTAATTTTTTTTAAATACAAAAATATTAACAACAATTTATTGCTGCATATGAGCTAGCTACGTCCTCACAACTATCCATTGCTGCATATGAGCTAGCTACGTCCTCCACACTCAGGATGTTGTTGACAGTGCTGTTACCAATATTAAGCTACTATTAGCAACAAAAAACCTGACAGCAACTCAGGTCTTTGAATAATTTGAGACTTTCTCTGAGTTCAATACTCTACTTCTTTGTGATGTTTCATTCACAGTCATCATGGAAATAAACATTAGGGTTAGAAGGCAATATATTTAACAGTGGACTAGAAGTTGGACAGTATAGATATATTCTGGACAGATGGTGTCTTCTACTTTAAAAAATTAGACACTTAAGGACTCTCAGTTGTCAAATACTACTCATCACTTCAAATAAAACCACTATTGTAGTAGCTGTGATTAAAAACAGGAAAAAAGAGAGAAAAAAATATTAGAAAATTATTGGACGGAGCATCGGAGAGGAAGGACTATTAGGAAGGGGTTTCCTGCTCTGAAATAATGACGGGTTTGCTTTGAAGACAGGAAACTGAACGTATCTCCTCTAAACCACACGGCCTCCAAGAGTGGTGGCCCACACACACACACACACACACACACACACAGACACGCAGCCCATATGTTCACGTTTAGAAATGTCTTCGATCACGCCCAAGAGGTGCTGCCAAAATACTAAACCACTCGCACTACACTGACAGATACACACACACACACACACACACACACACACAGAGGTTATTTTATTTCTAACCTAAATCTTTGTAATGAACTTGTAAGACCAGGTATTGACCTCAAGAATAAGATTTTTGTTTTTTTAAATATTATCGTTCCATCAGCGTGTTGATAAGAAAACCTGAAGGACTTTTGTTTGGGTTTTAAATCAGAGAGTAAGGTGGACATGTATGGGAAAAAATGGAGCCAACCCCTACTGGCTGACCATGGTATTGTACCATATATATATATTTTTTTTAATATATGCATAATATTAACTTATATAACTTATATAGATATAACATCTCTCTGCACAGCATGTCCTAAACATGATCACACACACACTCTCGGATACACACTTACACTTGTATCTTATTCAAATATAACTGTTCACTTATCCCCATACATATTAGAGGGATTAGAGGTTTGAGGCAACATCACATCATCCAAACCAGACAGAAAGAGAGAGAGAGAGAGAGAGAGTCAGCGGACAGAGAGCATGGCGCTGGATTAAAGAGGGGAAGAGAGAGAGGGAGAGAGAGACAGAGAGAGGCAGAGTTGCTGCTGCTCTGTGTTGACAGTTATATTTCCCTGTTGGGGGAAATTCACTTACTTGAATTGGCTCGATGCTCCAGTGTGTAATTCACTCCATGAGAGCCTGGAGGACTGGGAGCAGCGTGATTAATGAGGAGGAAATAGAAATATAGGAATTGACTGATTAAAACTAGGGGAGGGGTGGGAGGCGGATCGGCGTGTGTATGAGTGTGTGTGTTAATGCTGGGAAAGGGCAGCATATAAATGCACGTGTGTGTGTGTGTGTGTTAGCATTGTGGTCCTTATCTGCATGTGTGTCCTGTATTATTAGAGCTGGGACGCTGCCTAATGCCGGCAGTCCATCATTTCTTCAGAGAGCTCTAATGAATTGGCTGTTGACAGGTGGCTCCAAACCAAAAGCCTTTTAGGAAAAAAGGTTGATATTGGAGAAGAAGGATTGATATTGGTGCAGGAAGTCAAAACGATGAGGGGAAAACTTTGAATTACTGTAACCAGATATGGAGATGGAGCGAGTGGCTCGTCGCCACTCTAACCTCAGGCTGGATTTAAAATATTTGTTAAAATTAGAGGTTGGCAGATACGGCTTTTTCTGAACAGTTTAAAAGCGGAGCGTCCGACAGCCCCGTATTTAACGAGGATTTTCATTTGATTCCTTTTTTTAGTTTTTCACTAAACTAATGACTGATGACCCCTGAGATCTACTAAATGTCAAACGCCGTTCCTTACAGGAAACAAGAACAGAGAGAGGTGAATTTGTGTAATGACCTCACTCAGAGTCTTTTAACAACTGTGCATATTTGAAACACTTCCAGTTCTGGAACCAACTTTGGAGCCAGCTGGCACCTTCATACTTTAAGAAATTGGTTCACTTCTCACTGGGAACCAGAGGATACAGGTTCTTCTCCGTTAACCGTTACATCATCGACGGACAGGTCAACAGAACAGAAGTAGGAAGTGCTTCACATCCAAATTAACAATGTCCAATGAGCTATCAACAATGGCGCGGTATTACTGACAGTAACGGCTGATACCGGCCGACCGGTCCTTGGTACAAAAAGGTTGGAGACCACTTGTCTACAACAATTCAGAAGAAATTAGAGGGCAGCATAATGTGGAATTATGACATTTATGAAAGAAGTTTTTAGTTGACTTTCAATAAACCACCATATTACCAGAAGCAACAATTTTGTTTTCAAGAAATAGTAAGTAAATATAAAGGAGAACATAGCATTAAATTACATGCATCAAAAGAGAAAGCTATATTAGCCTAAAATTGTGAGTAATGTTTTAAAATAATACTCCAAAAACCTGAATCATAAAGGGAATAAAGCCTCTAACTAAAAAAAAAAAATTCCTGTTTTGCACATTTTGACAGTGTGTCCCTGTGGGTTTGGTTCCACATTGTGACAGTGTGTCCCTGTGGGTTTGGTTCTGCTGATCAGAGAACATCAACGTCACAGTAGCACATATCCTGTGTTCCCCCGAGATCACAACACACTGAGAGGAAACCCAACAGTGAAAAACAAAAACGACAAAACCAACACAGGCCTGAGCTGGAACAAATCTGATCCACATGTCCACCACGTCTGTGATGGATCAGCTGTTCTGTGATCAGGCACAATTAAAGCCAGACATTAACAAGAATCTGACTGCTGTTTCCTCTTCTCGTTCTGCTGCGCAGGTTTGATGATTCCCGTCTTCTGCGTGGTGGAGCAGTCGGACGGAGGCGTGCCGACGGAGGGATGCGACGGGAGAGAGGAGCACGCAGAGTTCGTGTTGGTCAGGAAGGACATCCTCTTCTCTCAGCTGGTGGAGACGGCCCTGCTCGCCCTCGGCTACTCGCACAGCTCAGCTGCACAAGCCCACGGTCAGTCATTCACGCACTCAGTTAGTTAAGGTCACACAGGGGTCAGTAAAGTAGCTGGGGGAAAAACTGCGCTCGCTTTTAACATTTTTGGAAGGATGACAAAATCTTACTTGAATATTTGGAGTTCATTAAAAAACTGCACTCGACATTTTGGAAGGACAGAATCTTACTTGAATATTTGGAGTTCATTGCGACTGATCCAGCAGAGGGTGCTTAAAGTCAGAGACCCCTTCAAATGCCCTATTAGGCCACCACCCCACCGTAAGAATAGCTTATTATTGACTCAAATACTTTACGCTGCTTATTTTTCTATTAAATATAAATAAGAAACCAGAAGCTCAGTAATGACTGCCATTCCTCCGGCTGCAATATATAATAAAACCATCTTTGCTTAAACCAGGGGTGTCAAACTTTTGGTTCACGGGCCACATACAACCTAATTAGATATCAAGTGTGTTGGACCAGTACAGTCATAACATAATTACCTAGGAATAACAATAAGTCCATGTTTTTTCCCCTTTGTTTTTATGCAAACAAGTACAAGTATATTAGATATTTTTTATTATATATTTAGATTTAATGAAATATAATTTTACAAAAAATAGTGTTTTTTAAATTATTATTATTATTTTCAAAGTGTATCAAGTGGGCCGAATTGAACACCCTAGTGGGCTGGTTTTGGACTGCGAGCCATATGTTTGACACCCCTGGCTTAAACAGTACCTTGAAAATCAGTTTTTAAAACCACGAAGTTCTAAGTATGTGACATATCAGTGTTAAGTCAAAGTACTTTACTGAAGTTCAAGTTTGTTTACTGTGTCAGAAAAGGGCTACACCGTATCATAATATTGTAAGACAGGTGTTGGTGAACTGCAATAATGAACGGTAGAAAAGCTGTCAATTTCTCCAGGTCCTTATGCTACGTAGGCTAAACTAATCACAGAGTCTGGAAAGTCTTTAACTCAAAGTTAAATTTATAATTGAAGTCAAAAAAATAATTGAAAAACCTGCCAGGATGACGATAAGATTCAGCTTCATATAGAGAAGACAGAAACCCATGTAGTGGACACAATGACAACAAAAAAAAGAATACTAAACAACACCAACGCTGCCAAAACCAATATAGTCCAACTTTAAAAACACAAAGAAACAGAGAGCAACTGTTTTCTTTCCTAAGAAACAACATATCTGAGGTCAAGCTGCCCCTTTTTGTTAGTATAACGAGCCTTTCATGAAGGCCATTATTAATACAGTCATGATTTTCCAACCGCTGACTGTCTCCGACTGTGTAAACTTTGGTAAGGCTGAGTCAGGATTTAAATATCCTGCAGCTCGTAGGGGTCAGAATGAAGAATAGTCTCTGAAAGACGGGGGACTCTCCCTCTAATCAGCGGCCTGGGAAGAAAAGTGGATGTGAGGTCGTCTATTTAGAGCAGACGCTGCACTGTCACGGTGGCAATAAGCAAAAGAATGTTTGAAAAACACAACTAAGACACAGACAGAGGCTGTAAAAGTCATTAAAGACACAACAAAGAGCCGGACAGGAATGTCTCTGTGAGACAAAAATACATTTTCTTCTTCCCTCTCTGTGTGTGAGAATGTTTATGAAGCAGACAAAAAGGAAAAAAGTGTAATTTATTGTTGCACACATGGTACTGTTCTGCCACAGGACAGTGTCATTTACTGCTGCAGTTTCTCAAGCATGCAGAAAATTCTCAAAGACGGTTAAAAAAAAAAAAATGGTGCAAATGGAAAAGCAGTTAGCGATGAGGCTACTGTTCAGTCAGGATCAAAATATAAACTAGGCCTGGATGACATTTTATTTAGTCAGAAACAGTTTAATAATTATTATTACTTAAATCTGTAAATAATAAAACCTGTTAGATTATAGTTTTAAAGATGAGTGTTAAAGTAGATACGTAGCAAAGTACAGCTAACAGCTAAACCAGGAGATTAGCTTGTTAAAACATTAAAAATCACTGCATTAAATCAAAGATCATATTTTTGGGATAAAATTACAAAAAAATTGCGCAAAAAGTACGCTGAAATGAAAGAAACAATGTCATTAAGCCCTAAAATGTTTTACAGAAAAAAAGCTTCGAGCCCAAAGATAAACAACTCAAAGTTGCAAAAAGTAAGCTGAAATTAAAGAAACAATATATGTCATTAAGCCCTGAATGTTTTACAGAAAAAAGGCCTCGAGCCCAAAGATAAACAACTCAAAGTTTACCAAAAGCAATTACAACCTTTGCTAATTTTCCAAGAAATGGGAACTAAAATTATATTTCACATAGATAAAAAGCCTCTCTAATAAAATGAACACATTAGAAACTCTGAATATATTTGAAGATCAGCCTCCTCATTTGTCATCACAAGCTTTTCTGTGTCTAAACTGATGGGTTTTTCTTTTACTTAATCAACTATTAACTATTAACCCTAATGAAACTAGAGTTAAAATCAAACATGATTTTAAGATGATTTGTAAAAAAATCAAACATGATTTTAAGATGATTTTTAATGTGTTATTCTGTGACTTCAGTGTTAGTTCAGCTTTATCCTGTTCATACAAACTGACCACAGGAGGCAGCAGTAGACCAGCAGCTCCTGTGTCCCAGTGGGCTGAAAATGCTGATTTTTTCCCCCAAGGACTTTGAGATAGTACACAAGTATTTTACAAACAGACAGAAGTAGCTGTTGAAATGTTTATGTAAATATATTCTTGAGATTCATAGATTCAAGTCACGAGTCTGGGGAGTCAGTTCAACCGAATCTTGACGTCTATGAAACAGATCTCTTTTGTTTTTCTATCACCGGGTCCTGGTATATGTGGTTTGCAGATGAAGGCACTTTTATTACACAGCATCGGGGGAGGTCGCCTCTCTCTCCCTCCCTCTCGCTCGCTCTCTCTCTCTCTCTCATCAGTGTGTATGGAAAACAGTGAGTCCACATCAATGTAGAAAAACACCACACCAGGGGCTTCAAAGACTTTAACAGGACATCGCTATTTGACACAAACAAACTCTCTGACAGTTGACTTTTTGCCTGTAAGCACACGCAGGCATGCGTGCGCACACACACTCACACACAAATAGACAGAAATACAAGAAACACACAAACATGCTTGTAAACTCAATATAACTCATGCTATGGTGCAGTTACACACCCTAGAATCCACATATATGCCGCACCACATTAAGTATCTTACACACACACACAGACAGATACACACACAGACACAGACACACACACACCACTTTTCTCAAATGAATAGTTTTTGTTTTTTAAACAAGCGTTTATGTTAAATGAATAATTTCTGGCTTAAATTATACATTTTTTCCCTCTGTGGTCCACGACCAAAATTACAAAGAGTCCTGGCTATTTTCTCCCTGTTTGAATTGTGTCCTGCATTCTTGTGTCCCAGCGGTGTATTTAAAGCACCCACCGAGGACCACGGCCTTTCTTTAATTAGCTGAGCCCAGTAATTAGCCGGGAGATATTGTTTATTTCGATTATAAGGGTCTGAAGGCTTTTATAGAATGGATGGGAGCAGACCTGTACTTTACGAGCTTTAGTCAGTGAACGGTTAACAGTGGTCAGTGGTGGAGAGACACCGACACACACAGAAGGAGAGAGAGAGGGAGAGGGAGAAAGCTCATTGTTGCACTGCCACGTCTTACAGGCCACAGAAGGTCAGGGCAGCAGAGTATGTCAGCAGTTTACTGGACACCTGAGGTCAGAGCAGCTCGCTGTGGCCGGGGTTTGGCCTCTATTCTCATACAGTTAAAAAGTCACCGTGTGCTTTTTCTAAAGGCGTTCATGAATGATGAAAAAAAAAAAATGGCAACAAATTATTTAGAATATTGAAAAAAGAATAGAGGTAGCTACTTACTTTATTAAAGTGAAGCCTAGCTAGTAGAAGTATGTGGAAAATGCTGAATCTGGACATGACCAAATTTTACGCGGAAAATGCTGAATCTGGACATGACCAACTGAACGGTCCCATATCTCAACATTGGCTCTCTACATCAGGGGTCACCGACCTTTTTGAAACTGAGAGCTACTTCAAGGGCACTTAGTAATACGAAGAGCTGCTTTGTTGGATGCAGACGTCCTGAACAATGTAATAATAATCAGTTCTGGAACATACAACAGTAGACACTCTTCTTACCATCGTCCTTGCACCCATTTGAATATCACTGCAAGTGGAACTGATTCAAAAAGCACAGTAACAGTACAATTTTTGAACCTCTTGTTGACTAGTTTTATTTTTAGAACATACCCCAAGGGCACTATAGGTAGTCCATGGGGGCTACCAGGTGCCCCCATGGACCATGTTGGTGACCCCTGCTCTACCTGCTTGTAGAGAATGGTCATTACTTCCCTAACTAACTAATGGGTTGTAGCATTAAAATAGTGATGCTAGGGAAGTAGGGTTCAGTCAGTTCTTATTTTATTGTAAAAAAAAAAACTGTAGGTCACAAAAACAACTTGTTTTGTATGGGTGTAAAAATTATTTTGTTTAAAAAGTCAGTGAACAATATTGTAATGCAAACAAAATGTATGCAAATTAAATATACATATATTGTATCTGTGGATACAAAAACAGTTAGGCCGGTGATGAGTCAGAAATCACTGATGATGAGTCACGTTTCATCAAATAATATTTTTTCCTAATTTTCGCTTCAATTTCACCTGAAAATAGTGAAAGGAGACAAAGATGTTACATTGTGTGGTTGTAAGTATGGAGACGCTCCAACTGAAGATAAAGCAAAAATATCTACTTTTTATAACATGGAATAGAAAAAAAAAATCTGGGTTGGGGAGGAGACGTGCAGCACAAAAAGAGAGTTTTTTTTGTTTTTTTTTTAACTGATTAAATTTAGCAAAGAGCTAAAAAGTTGCGGGTTGACTGATATTCTCAAGAAAGCACTGTTTATGGTAGAATTAGCTCGAACTTGACTGGCAGCATCTTTGTCATGCATCTGGTTTCTTCTCATCGG